TAATTTTCATCTGTTCTCTTTCTGGCATTGATAACATTTTAGTAACTATATCTATTTTTTCTTTATTCCAATATTTGTGTATTCTTTTTGGTCTTTGAATTCTCGACGAAGACTGGGAGTTTTCATTTAAATTGGAAAAATTAATATTACTATTGGAAAATATAAAAAATTAATAAATATTTTTTTACTTATTTAAGAAAAATTTTTAAAATTAATAAATATTTTTTTACTTATTTAAGAAAAATTTTTAAAATTAATAAAAGTCTAACACATTTTTTTATTTTTAATGAAATTTCCAACACAACTATTAATCTTGTTAATTAATTACTTGTCCATATTTAATTTCAGTATGTATTAAATTAAAACTTTATTATATTTATCCCCTTTTATTGTTAGTTGATTTTTAACACTCGTTTCACTGTAGTATTAAAATGAATAAAGTTTTTTGCTTAACATGTCTCGTATTTGGAGGTCTACACACAAATTCAAAATGGACATGTGAAGGTCTAGATAAATTGCAGAATATTAATCGTGATATTATTCTGCATGAATCTTCACAGGCACATATGATGGCCGATTATGGAAGGCTTTCTCACAATAAAAATTCGATATTAAAATTTATAACACCCAAGAAAGAATGTGTAGATAAAAACCGTTCTATCATAAGAATTATAATTAGGGATGTACCGATATTTTATATCGGATCGGATTGGGCCGATATTTCGCCCATTTTAAAATATCGGTTATCGGCAAATATTAAATTTTCCGATATCTAAAAATCCATTTATTTTTATAAATAAAATCGAAATATATTTTTATGCCTAATTATTTTAATAGTAATAATTAGTTAATAAACATTCTGCAATATAGTTATTTTTTTTCGCATTCTGTTTAAAAAAGTGTTCATTAATCTCTTCAGAATCTGTTTTTAGTGATACTAGTGATATTAACAGTCCCCATCACCGCAGACCGATCTCTGATAAATTGGAAATTTTGGTATTTCTAAAAAGAAATCTTCGATAAATTAATTTTATATATTAATTTCAAATTTCAATATATTTGTTTATTACTAATTATGTAAATAGATTAATGTTATTACTTATTATATAAATAATTGCAATTGAATTGAATATAAACTATAACTGATCATTATAATATATTTAAATGACATATGTTATGGTATAGTAAAATTATAGATGTTGTACTAATAAAAAGAATATTAAAAATTAAAACCGGTATCTTTACAGAATACAAAATTAGATATGATATCGGATCGGTTATCGGCCGATATCAATTAAATATCTGGAATATCGGATCGGATCGGCCTCCAAAAAGCGGTATCGGTGCACCCCTAATTATAATAAGATGTTTAGATTATTTAATATCTTGTAACCAAGCCTTCTGGGGGAACAGGCAACAAGAAGGAAATATGATGAGCTTATTGCACATTCTGAACCTGTATTTGTACATACAACAAAATGAAGAAAGAAAAAGGGATTAAAAACGAAATTATTCAAATCTATTATCATATAGTAACATAAATATTCTCATTGAAACCATGAAAAATATGGTTATAAAAAAAATTCAAAATGAGATTACATTTAACAGGTGCTTTTCAATCATAGTTGATGGCACATATGATGTTTCGAAATCAGAAGCAATAGCTTTGATAGACATATATTGTACGGGAAATATCACAAGTCTCGATATTAAGCATAATATAATATCCAAACTTGGCTCGATGAATTTACCCCTTAAATTTCTAGTTGGGCAAAGTTATGATGGCGCCTCAAACATGAGTGGAAAAATCAATGGTGTGCAGACCTTGATTAGAGCAGAGGCGCCAAAGGCAGCTTTTATTTGGTGTTAATGTCATCGATTAAATTTAATCATTGTTCAATTATGCCAATCAATTAAAGAACTTCGAAATGTTCTAGGAATACTAGATGAGATTTATATCTATTTTAATGGTGTAAAAAGATATGAGGTACTCAAAAAATGTCAGTGTAATGATCTGAAAAAATTGCAACGATTTATACGCATCAAGAATACCACTCGGTAATAATATCTTATTTATTTAGTATAAAGCTATTGTAAATATTTTTCTACTTTATGATGCCTTGAGGGCAGCTTTAACAAATTTAAAGGATTCTAAGGATCCTGCCACTTCCACTATGGCTAGTGGTATAGTCTTTAGAATAGAAAAATTTGATTTTATCTTATCACTTTGTGTTTGGGATAAAATATTGTTGATAACAAGTTTGGCTTGTACAAAATTGCAAACCATTTCGAAGGATATGGGTTTGCAATAAATCCAATTCAATTGGCAAAAGATTGCTTGATTAATTTAAGTATAATATAAATTATAGTCTTAATTATTTTTTAATCCAATAGATAATAACACTGAAATTTTGGATGTTTTTTCAAAGATACAAGATTTTATGAAGGAGAGAAATTTACCTTTTGATTTTGAAAGTTCTAGAATTCAAACATTACAATCCAAAAAGGAAAGGTATATATACTTTTCATCATTAAATATAGAAATTTTTTTAGCTTTAAAATATGTGGTATGCTGCACTCGATTTAATTATTATGCAGTTTAACGAAAAATTTGATGAAGATTCGATGAAATTTTTACATCTAACATCATTTTTTACGCCAAAGGGAATGGCAGAAAAATCAATTATTAAAAAGATATCGAGGATATCTGTGAATTTTACAATTTAAATTCAAGTCAAATTTTAGAAGAAATGTTGAAGTTTAGTAATATTTATAAGATGACCAAAATGGGGAATGTAATTATTACTCATGACCTATAGGTTCGAGAATCTAAAGATTTGTCAGATTCTGTGAATTGTAAATTTATTTAATTAAAATATTTTTACCAATACATTATTTAGCTTCTTCTGATGATAATGATAATTCAGGGACTTACGATTCAGATTGGAAAAACTATTCATTTATTTTACCTTATCGTCTACTTTTAAATTTTTCTGATTTCCCTAATTTAAGAATTTTATATAAATATTTATTAACCATTCCTACTGCCGAAAGAGTCGTGAGTAAAATTAAATTAAATAAAAGACTTCGTAGTACCATGAAAGATTCATTTCTCAATAATTTAACCATATTATTAATGGAAAAAAATTTATTTAACAATTAAATATTGATGAAATTATAAATTCTTTCGCTTTCTCTTCCCCTAATTTATCTAAATTATTAATTTAAAAATAATATTTATAAAGTATATATTTTTTGCATTTTATTTACATTATATATTAAAAATTGATGCAATAAAAATAATTTTTGAAATTTATGGGTGTCATAAAATAATTATCATTTTTTCGAGGGGGGGGGTGCTTTTCAAAGGGGTACTTTTCTGGGGGGTATTTATTCTGCTTCATTCGCTCAGAAAGTGTAGGAGCCACTGGATAATTATATCTTATTTTTATAGCCCTAATGGTCAACATTGCAGATATGCAACTGTTCAGATTTACTTTTTAGGATGATTTTTTCATGCCTATTTTTTATGATTTTTTAGTTTGACTAAAATAAATAAAATTTGAAAAAATCAAGAATTTTCATCAGCTGAAAAAAGAGTGGCCAATAATGGGTTTATAGATGCTAATGCATTAAAATTTTCAGTATGATCTAATGGATTATCAAAATTGAAAAGGGTTGACCAAAAATCATGTGTAGCATTAAAGCTACTGCTACTGAGTAATTTTTATATTTTCAGAGTGATTAAAAATTGTGACAGGGCAATGATTGACTGGCATGCAGGTACTTATATAGACACAAAATGTGATGGTCAGAAACTTTGTACAAAAATATTTGGAATAGGGAATGTCAGGTTGGGCCATGCCTGATTTTTCTTAAAATTTTTACAAGCCAGGTTAAGCAAATTTTTAAAAAAACATAATGGGTGTCAGACTTGACCATGCTAATTTTTAAAATAACTATAACAGGCCAGGTGGAGCAGGGCCAAAAAAAATTGGGGCCTGGCTGGTTCTGACAATTTGTGCAAATTTTTTTAACAAGCCAAAGGAAACTGGACTTTGCAAACCTTAGGGCTATTCCAATATTAAATATCTGGTCGACACCAATATTAAACGTTTTTTTTAAATATTGGATGGGCCAATATTTTCCAAAAACTTGATCAAATATTTTTATTGTCTTTGGTTATTTTATGATTTTATTTGCATGGTCTGACCCTAATTTGAAAAAAGAAATTCAGTATATAAACATTGCAAATGAGAATATATGTTTATTTTTTTAAACAAAATGATGAACAATATTTTTTTTAATTTTTGATAAACTTTGAACATGATTGTGTTTTTTTGACGAATTCTTTTATGGTTTAAGTTTGTTTAATATCAAAAAATCTTCTTATTTTTATATATTTGAATTCAAGTTTTTTAAGAAAAATAGGTTATTTTTAAATCATTTGTTTGCTTTATCACATGTGAATTTTTTTTAAATCCCCAACTATTTCTGTCTTATAACATGTTTATTTGAATAATTTATTTATTTTTTATAAATTAGCATAAGATGTATTTTGATATTTCATTAATATCATCTGATTCTAAACATCACCATGACCCAAATATAAAATATACTTTAAAGTAACATCCCATATGGGCCTAAATTTAAAAATTTACCAAAATTTTTTATAAGACTTGATCCTTAATAATAAAATTATTAATTAGACTTATAACATGTGATAGTGATTCATAATATAACAAGTTTCTTAATTAGACATAAGTTAAATTATAATTAAAAATTGTTATAGAAGGTTTAAGAAAAATATAAGCATAAAATTTTTAATATATGCCATTTTCATGGCTAATTTGCCTGTTATTGTAAAACTTAAGAATTAATTAGAAAATTTAATTATAATAATTATTAGATAATTAAAATAAAACTAATTTATCAGCATAACTTTTAAAAGACAAAATCTTTATTTTATAAAATAAAAATTGAATTTATTTTTAGCAAACCAAAGATTCTTGAGGCTTATTTATAGGAACAATTCTAATAACTGCCTTGAGTCCTCCAAGAATTAAAATAGAGTTTAAAGTAATTGTGTCAAAGGTCCATGTAGAACAGTAATAAATTTCTTCAGCCTTTAAAATAAAAACAATTTTTAACAAAATGATTAGTATTTTACATCATCATCTATTAAAGTTGTTAATAGTTTGAGTTGCCCATTCAATTGGCATAAGTATATTGATGCCTAATAAAACTTATAATAAATTTAAATGTAATGGCAAGAATTTCACATTATTTCCCCCAACAGTACAGAAAATTGTGCCCTTTTCACTATTAACAATTGGGTTAAAGCTCACGCCAAACAATGGCTGAGAGTGATTTTCCTAAATAAGTTAAAATATAAATAATTTAAAAAGGAAATACTCAATTTGATTAAAATAATGAATCCTTTTGGGATTTTATATTACTAAATGGCAGAGAAAACTTATTGCATAATTCTATTTTAGATATTTATAAAATAAAGATGATTTGTATGATAAATAAAATATAGAATTAAAGGATACCTTATAGCTGCATCTAAATATAAATTTTAAAGGGGTTAACGTTTGTACATTTTTACAAATAGTTTTTTTAGATTTAAATCTTTCGCTTTTCATGACAGTTTGTTTCGAGTCAAAATAGAGAAAAATGGTGAAATACACTTAAAATTTCCGTGATCCGTGATATATAGCATTAACAACTGAGCTACGCTAGGTTTTCCTCATTTCCATCGAATTGGAACATAAGTTAATTGGGGTGTAAAGTTAAAAAAAATATGAGGAACCGTAAATATTAAGCCAAGGAAAACTTGAAATCGAAATTAATTGATAAAATAACTTTGTAAATGAATGTGATAAATAAATGTAATTAAATATATATATATGAGATAGGAATAAATATGAAAAAATATAAATTAACATAATATTTTTGAAAAATATAATCCGGTATCTATATTTTTTAGATTTGGGCCTGCCTATCATACTCCTATTTCTTTTATCTTTATATTTATTCCATTTTTTATACATATTTGAAATAACGAAGCATCAATCTAAATGAAAACTGCTTATGATGTACATTCTCATGTGGTTTATATTTAAGACGTTGTGGTAGATAATATCCTCTAAAGTAATGACCATCCAATTCTTAACAAAATTAAAATTTATTTAAGATTGAATCTTACACACTTATTTACTGATTCCAAATATATGATTAATATAATCAATTTTCATTCTGTTTTTATAGATATATACATTAAGAATTTTATTCAGCATAAATTGATGTAATATCTCATGAGGTTTATGTCCAAGAAGTTGTGGTTGATTTATTATACATAGTAATGACTATTCAATTCTCAGAAACATTAAAAATATTAACATTCAAAAATTAATAAGATTTTTTAAAAATATTAAATAATCGATTCTAAATATATAGTGAAAGGGGGGATATTTTTTATCAGATGTTAAAACAAAATAAAATGATACTATTATATTTTTATTTTAATCATACTTAAACATTAATCTATGTTAAAAAAATTTTAAACAACTTTTTTAAAAAAAAAACTTTTTAAAAAAAACATATTTTTTCACATATCATTTACATAATTTAATATTTTTGTATATTTAATTTAATATTAATTAATTTATCAATCTTATAATGTTTAATATAGACTACATTCTTTATAACTTTAATACATCTCCTTTACTCTCAAGTACTTCTGTAAATTATTCTTTGCCAATCTCAGATGGGAATGATATGGAAAATTATCAATCACATTCTAATATTTCTGCAAATAATAATTCTTTAGCAACTATTAATGAAAATATAAATCTTTCTCAAATATCATCCTTTCCTAAACACAAAAGAACATACAATTGTTGGAACAAAGATAAAATTGAAATGGTAATGAAAATATTAGCAATGCCAGAGGAAGAACAGATGAAGGTTAAGGACATTGCTAAATTTGTTAATATGTCGAAGGCATCAATACATAAAATAAAACGGGATACATTCCCAGAAATTATTGGTGAGCCCTTAAAGGAATTCTCGCTTAAACAAAGGGGGAGAAAAATTAAAGACACAGCAAATATTGAAAGGCAAATTATGGATTTGCTAATCGACAATAATACCTTCACAGTGAAGGATATAATTGAGAATTTGCCCTCTGGTTCTCCAAAAAATATTGGAACTATAAGGAAATATATTAAAAACATCCGATGGTCAGAAAAAAGAGCTGGGAAAGAACCAGATCACAGGAATACACCAGGAGCTATCAATATTCGACAGGTGTATTGCCGTAAATTGCTGAACATCTCCAGAGAAAGACTCTATTTTCTCCACGAAACAGGCATCAATTTTCATGTTGTACCTGTCTATGCTTGGGCACCACTCAACGTTAGACCATCAATAAAGGTGCCACCCTCAAAAGGGAAAAATGTAAGTGTACTTTGCACTATAGGAATTTGTGGAGTTATACATTATAAAATCATCGAAGGATCATATAATGGTATGTTATTCCGAAATTCATTAATGGATATTATTAGAATATTACCACCAGATGCCATATTAGTTATGGACAATGCGTCAATACAAAAAAGTCATCTAATTGATGACTATAAAGAGAGAATTGAATATCTTCCCACATACTCACCACAATTAAACCCAATTGAAAATTTTTTCGGGGTTTTCAAAAACAAGTACAGGTCATTAATTCCCAGACCAAGTACAAGGGAACATATAATAGATAATATTAATCAAATAATGAATCAATTTATTCCATATGATTTTACAAATTTCTATAACCATATGCAACATTATTTGGAGCTGGGCTATCGTGGACTACCTCTTGACTAAAGTAATCTAATTATATAATAAATTACGATTAACATTTTTTAATATTTATAGGTACTACTTAAGCAAGCAATTTATGACTATGAACTATCATTAAATATTTCATATTTTATTAATTAATATTCATGTATTAGTGTAATTACGAATATATTTCTTATTATATATAATTATATGTATTTATACGAATTGAATAAAATATTAAATTAAAGTTATGTCTCAAATATGATAAAATAAAGTGAGAGAAAAAAACTATTTTAAGAAATAAAAGATTCTGTCTAAGATCTTACAACTTAAATGAATAATTTATCATTATATTTAAAATTATTCTACATAAAATATCGTTAACTAAGTAAAAGAAAATATGTGATGACAAAACTTTTTATATTTTTTTATAAAAAAATTTTTTTAAGTGTGTCATTTAAAAAAGTTGTTTAATATTTTTTAACATAGATTAATGTTTAAGTATGATTAAAATAAAAATATAATAGTATCATTTTATTTTGTTTTAACATCTGGTAAAAAATATCCCTCCTTTCACTGTAAGTCAGATATTATTAATTATAATTCTGTTTTTCATAAATTGAAATGGTTGAATAAATAAAGTAAATTAACTCAATATGATATGTGATCATCTGTTAAAGTGAGCAGGGAGTTGTCAAATAAAATATTTGTTTAATTAATTTTTCTAAAAGATATCAATACACAACTATAAATTATATAAAACATTTTAAATTGTTATTTGAAGACAAAAATGTACGATTTTAATAGGGTCAAATAAAGCGATATTTCAAATTTTACCTTTATACGATTACTAATTTACTACATGGGAGTATTTATCAATTTACAACCAAGCTCACAAACCATGGCGGCTCCGACAAGATAGTATCTTCTGATTTATTATATCAATGATACTTTGAATTAAATATCATAAATAAAAAATTTTTTTATGGCAGCTCGATCTTTTACTATGGATTTTACTATGGATATTTATCAAAAACCAAGAGGGATAATATTATTCAAAAATAATTTTTATTAGCTTTCATTTGATGTCCTTGTCGGATATTTCTTGTAAAAGAAATTTAAATTTCTCCAAACCTTGATACGAGTAGATAAAGTGATGGGTAGTTTTAATAATATCCAAAATCATTTTATTGGCCATTTGATATCATTGTCTAGATACTTTCTTGGAAAAATGTTTACCCCCACCTCTATAAACCAGGAGATATAGAGTAATGATTAATTTTAAAACTCAAAAAATCATGCTTAAGCACTCAAAAAAATAGAAAATCGTGATATATTATATATTCTAAGAAATTCAATCCTGAGGAAATTAAAATTTTTACTTAACAAAATAATTTTTGGGAATTGAGTAAAATTTCTTTAAGTTGTTTTAATTCCGAGTAATTAAGGGTAAAAAATAAATAATATATGTTGAAGTATAACCTACATGCAGAGTTGGGCAGTAGGGGAAACTGGCATTAGGTAAACCCCTGGGCTTGGCAAACCACTTAATCTCATTTTAAAATTAAATATACTAGAAGGTTAAAATTTTATCCTAATATAGTTTTCATTAGTATACATCTATGGACAAAATATATTTGAAATAATTCATTACTAAAAATTTTATTTAAGATATAAAATTTTGATGAAATTTTCAAAAGATTTTTACATGACAGAATTTTATTTTATTAAAATATATAATCATTTATATGAATTAAATTTTATTACAAATTAAACATTCTTCTATAATTTGGGTATTTTATGAGTATTTATCAAATCTAGATATTATTTCAATCATGATTTGTCAATTTAGAGCTAGGGGTTTGCTAAATCATATCAATTATGACAATTAATAATAAAAAAAATTTCAAAATCTTGAAAAGGCAATTTCATGGATGTTTATGATTGGTATTTATGATTTATGCTGAGAAATTTTAATCTCTCCTTAAAATTCATATTTTTTTATGTCCAAATATTTATTAAATTAGCCAAAATTAAGTTTCTATTTTTATATATAATTAGCTTCAATTTATAAGTATTATGATATTTTGAACAATAAAATAATAAAATTTATCTATACATATCATTATTAATAAATAAAAATGCATTTCAATTTATTATGGCCTAAAAAAACCAATGGTTTAGGAAGCCCCTTGAAGTGGTTTGCTTCACCCCGCTATTGGGGCTTGTTGAACAAAATTTTCACTTTTACAAAAAATAAAATTTAACAAAATCATTATATTCTTAAGATTTTTTATAAGGCACCTTTATAGAGTATATTTTTAGGTTCCAATCATATATTATTTTTTATATTATCTATAAAACAACAAGAGCTATAAACAATTTTGTAAAAATTAGTTCGATTAACCCCAGTCTAACTTACCTCGAATACTTGTATCTAAGATACAAGATCCTTTTGTATCTTGTACTCAGTATCTTTTTGACATTATTAATAAGATACTAGTATCTGTATCTAAGATCCTTTATTCTGAAGAATCTTGTATCTTTTTCATTTTCTTGACAAAAGATACAGATACTTTTTAATATTCATGTTTAAAATTTTACATATCACAGTATATATCTTATTTTCTTCCAGAATCTTATATTAATTTCCTTAGTTTTTTTCACTATATTTTAAATATAATGTCAAAATTAGCTGGAAAATTTACAACTCATATTAAAGTAGATATAGTGTTATTAAACGGCTCATTTTGAGCAGGTTCTTAAAACAGCTATCTCAATATTATAGCCAGAAAAATATTGCCTAAGCCTTGAGATTTCGTTAGTGTATGCCTAAACCTTTGTTCCTTCTATGAGGAAAATCTTCAGGTTTGCGTAAGATCTTGTGTGAAATATTGAGTTGGCCGTTTTTAAAAATCTGCTCACGAACCTTTTAATATCACTAGGTAGATAGATAAAAAATAACAGCACCAAA